TAAACATGTATAAAACATTCATTCAACATCCATCTCAAATAAACAAACAACATATATACACATAACATGTATTTATATAAAATACTTCATATCTATGTGTAAGATGAAAGTGACTATACACTCACATGATTTAACGATAATCGGGCAGCACTTCGTTTCCTAAAACAGTCGTGTCTAATAAAACCGGGAGTTTTATTGAGAAACCGGGCTCTACGAGGGTTAGGATTCAAAACCGAAAAGATAAATTTTTCCGGGTCTACGGGCACTTCGGGACGTATTTTGGGTGTTTGGTATAATACCGGGGCTTTGGGGGAAGTTGGAATGGACGAAATATTGTTTAAGGGGTGAAAAGTGGCAATTTTCCAAATTACCACCGGGGGGTCTCGCACCCTTCTATTTATAGGCGGGAAGCTTCGGATCCGAGGGCTGAGAAGCGAACAGATGTCAGCAGATGCGAGGTACAGGTGGCGCGCCTGCGAGGCTCGGACACCTGGTGCGACACGCGTCGGATGCGAGGTGAGGCGGTTTCGGATGCGAGGAGTCACCTGGGCACGCGTCGGAGTCTCGGATGCACCTCGCATCGGTGACTAAGCTGCTTCGGAAACGAGGCGACACGCGGCATGCTTCGGTTGGGCCTCCCTTCGGTCGTATCACAATCTGACACGGGGCATGCATGCGAGAATCCGGGTGACGTGGCCGAAGTGTGTCCATGCGAAATTCCTCGGATTTCGTATTTTTCTCGATTTTTGAGCCAAAACTTCTAAAATCCATAACTTTCGTATACGGGCTCCGTTTTTAACGTTCTTTATATGCACGCGTAGGTAAAATTACGCTCTACAACTTTCGTTTAGACTTCGTCGGCTAATTTTGACTTTAATTTTAATATTATTATTTTTAACAGACCGGGACAGGAAATCCGTTAAAAATTCATAACTTCTTCATCCGACGATCGTTTTCGTCTGTCTTTTTTCCGTTGTACTACTATTGACGAGACCTTTGATTCTCGTTTAGGTTGTGTCGGCTAAAAATCACTCGATCTAAAATTCGAGTTTTTAGCTGTCTACTCCTAAGCTGAAACTTAGAAAATCATAACTTCCTCATACGAAGTCAGATTTGTGCGTTCTTTTTATACATACTCTCGGTTTAACGAACACTACGACTTTCGTTTAGATCACCAAGGCTAAAAAGTAGTTTATCAAAAACTCACTTTTTACGTCATTCGGCGTCGTGCCGGTTTTGTCGCGAAACTTCGACAGGTCATAACTTCTTCGTTATAACTCGGTTTTACGTCATCCGGAATCCTTGTCACGACCACTACAACTTTCTTAATAGATATCGGTTTTATCTAATATTTATTTTCGACGCTCATTTTTATTCTTAATTAATTAAATCTTAATAATTAAGCATAAAACACATAATTCACATAATAATCACATAATTCCTCTTCATTTCTTCAAAATGAGTTACAAAGGTTGACCTAGACTATTACATCATCATTAATGTCTATCCTGGAAACACGGGCGTTACAATTCTCTCCCCCTTAGGATGATTCCGTCCCTAGAATTACACATCAGTAAACAAATGCGAGTAGCGACTCATCATGTCACTCTCCGTTTCCCAGGTGAAATTTGGCCCATTTGTATGTTTCCATCGCATAAGCACTAAATCGACCATCTTGCGTCATAACTTCTTAGTCTTACGGTCAATGATTGGCTCTAGTTCTTCAATTAACCTTTTGTTTTCATCTAACCTTAATTCAGAAATTGGAATTATGTCGGGTACATCTCCCGTGAACTTCCTCAAATAACACACATGGAAGGTGTTATAAATACAATCTAGTTCTTCTGGTAATTCTAGCTTGTAAGCTTGATTTCCGATCCTCTGAAGAACTTTAAACGGTTCAATAAACCTTGGACTCAACTTTCCTCTTTTTACCAAATCTTATAAGTCCCTTCCACAGCGAGACTTTAAGTAAAACCGAATCTCCAACTTCGAATGTTATCGGTTGTCTTTTCTTGTTAGCATAGCTCTTTTGATGATCTTGAGCAGCTAACATCCAACTTCTTTAACAACGAGCGCGATACTTCTATTGATCGCTTTGATCATCTTTCACTTCAATTTGGCTTAAGTCAAATGCTACATCGAACTTGGTTCTCTGAACCACGTAACATACTCATCTTAGTCGGACTCGATTCGATATGACCTCTAGGGTCGGAATAACAATCATCTTCTTAGTCATTACCGAAACGATGGTAACAACATACTTGAAAAAAAACGAAATCAATTACTAGCTTCTTGGTAACCTTGTGACTTTCCCTGATCCAAGTGTGAATCCTGTGCTTCCATTAGTATAGATCTCTACTACTATTCACACCTACTCATACTCGTCCCAAGTATTGTCTCGTAGTCCCCAAGTCCTAAAATCACAAAACAATTTAACACATACGAATGTTTCCAATTAATCATAAAATTTTCCTAGACTCTACTAGGACTTCTTCCATGCGTATCTTCAATCATCAATTCTACTTCAACTTGGTTGGTGATGGAAATTCCAGACGATGGGACAACTTCAAGAATTACAACAATCGCTCCATCATCCTGCCAATCGAAGGTGTACTTCAGACGTACCGTACTCCTCTAAACGTTCCATTATTTTATCAGACATATTCTAAAGGCAAGATATCACTCTTACGATATCTTCTGATAGGTATCATTCACTAGCGTAAGCCTTTCATTTCCTCCATCTACTCAATTCTCTACGAGTCTTCACCATAACGTTTTGTACACCCAAACAGACGTTCGGTGTACCGGGCGAGAATTGGGCGAGAAATTTAAGATAGGAAAGTTTTTATTTACGATAGACGTATAAATCTCCCTATTACTCCGAAAAGTTACATGTCAGTTCTAATATCGTAATTAAATGTTTAGAAATCTGAACACATAAAATTTCCATATATGGTCGGCAACAAACCATAGATCCGAACAAATAATAGCATATAAGGCATCTTTATAGCTATAACATAAAACATTTAGCACATAAAACATTTTAGGCATCTTTCCTAAAATAAACTAGTGCTCGTGTCTAAAATATAGCAGATGCTCATCTCACAATCATCGCTTAGCATTCTAAGTTTAAGTCTAGAAATTTCCTACAAATTCCTAGTTCGCTTAAACTAATGCTCTGATACCAACTGTGACATCCCCAATTTCACGGCCAGAAAAGACCGATTTCGTTTATGTTTTTTAAAATAAAATCAGAGTAATCATTTGATTAAAAGTGTTGCGGAATTTGTTCCAAAAAAAAAAACATGATAAATATGTTATCAAATCATTTCCGAAGAAATGTATTTTATTCATTTAAACCATTGGGATGTCATTGTCAATACAAAAACATAAGCATAAACAAAACTTACATTCATTTACACTAGTGATCTACTTCTTTTTTTAATCTCTCAGTGTAAAGCAACTTCGTATCGATACCTGTGATACAAATAAGCTTGAGTGGGTCAGGCTTGGGAGCCTGGTGAGCATATATGGTTTTAAACCCACAAATAATAAATTTATTAATTTCATCATTCAACAATAAATTTATTAATTTCATCAACCAAAATAACCCTGATTACCCATTCCCGTTATCCTCACTTTACGTCCCTAAAACAACTATCACAAGGGACCTAGCCTAAGAATTTTCATCAGGGTGACAACACTGCTTCGGGGGTTCCTCAGCAATTTATGTCAAATAAGGCAACCAATGGGGTGACAACACTGCTTTCCTCAGCAATTTATGTCAAATAAGACAACCAATGTGGTGACAACATTGCTTTCCTCCGCAATTTATGTCAAATAAGGCAAACATCGGGGTGACAACATTGCTTTCCCTCAGCAATTTATGTCAAATAGGCACGAAGTCACATCGTCGCCAAGGTTTATACAACAGACACTAAGTCCATAGCTGCCAACGTACTAAATCCATAGCTACCAACGTACATCTATACTGTACTAAATTTATAGCTACTAACGTACATCTATACCGTACTTTTATCCCTCATTCTTTATCTACCCATGTTTTACCCAACATATTTGAAGATAAAATATATATACATTTTAAATCATTTTAAACATGTATAAAACATTCATTCAACATCCATCTCAAATAAACAAACAACATATATACACATAGCATGTATTTTATATAAAATACTTCATATCTATGTGTAAGATGAAAGTGACTATACACTCACATGGTTTAACGATAATCGGGCAGCACTTCGTTTCCTAAAACAGTCGTTTCTAATAAAACCGGGAGTTTTATTGAGAAACCGGGCTCTGCGATGGTTGGGCTTCATGAATATGATGTTTGTGTAGCCGTTTGTATATTTGGTGACACAACCATTGGTTCTTTGGAGGATTTCGTCGGTTACAATTAAGCAATGAGTGGCCCCAAGTGTTAAAAAGAGTGGCCAAATGTATTAATAATCTTGAAAAAATGTATTTTGAGTGACGTTAGTCCATTCATTTGTCACATGAATATGATCTTTGTGTAGCTTTTTGTATATTGGTGACACAGCCATTGGTTTTTTTATAGGGATTTCGTCACTTACAATTAAACAATGAGTGGCCCCAGGTGTTAAAAAGAGTGAATATATGGTTTTTAAAGTCAAGTAAATATGTAGGCTTTTGTATATTTAGTGACACAACGATTGTGTGGCGTTTGGTATATGTAGTCACTCTAAAAATTCCATTATTTGTGTGACAAATATGGTTATATATATATATATATATATATATATATTATATATATATATATATATATGTGTGTGTGTGTGTGTGTATGTGTGTGTGTGTGTGTGCGTGCGTGTGTGTGTGTGTTTATTTATTTATTTATCTATTTATATAAAACAAATGAAAAGGAAAAACACAAACCCAACAAAATTGGAATAATTTACGTAATTAAATAATTCACAAGTAAAATTGTAATTTCGTACAAATTATATAAAATCCTAAAGTAACATATCAAAATGATGTATATCACATTTAATATAATCACAACTGTAATTCTTTTGAATCTTCTTGTTGGGCATGTCTTGTCTTAGCACCAAAGCAGAACTAACAAACTTGCGCTTAGCCAATAATTTAGATACAAATGTTTTCTCACCATCCTTTGGTATGGTAGATGGTGGTGTTACCTGTAAGAAATGAAAGACCAACGTATCAAACATTAAATAAATCATGAAAGATTATAATATATGTAGGTTGATACCTTTTCTTGATCAATTAAAACGACCTGATCCTTTGGCCATGCCACAAAACTACCTACTGCATCCTTAACGGTTTTGAAATCGTTATTTCCTATATCTGATATGCATGATGTATCCACTAACAATTCTTGAATTGACACTTTATAGCAAGTTTTTGGGAGTGGTTTGTGATGAAGCATTTGCTTTCCATCTGTGATGTATACTTTACCAATAACAATCATTTGTGTTCTACTGTTGTGCCACAGTAACACAGTTTACACCTCATTTCCTATCAAATAACCAATATTGGCATATATGCATCAGAAAGGAATCAAAGTAAATAATATATGAACATTTGATGGATATACATACTTTTGGTGTTACTATTGGAGACACATTTTGTTGCGATTGGGACTTTGAACTTGGAGACGTGTTTTATTGTTGTACCGGCATATTTATACTCGTCACATGCTTTTGAATTTCCTATGTATATATAAAACACGTGAAACAAGTTACGTATATATTTAAACTTCCTATGACAGGCATAAACAATTAACTAAAATCATGCAATTGAAAAGGTTTAATACTTACCAATGATGTTACATGTCCATTTGGATCTAAGTTCACCCCTTGGGCAGCTAATTGACTCACCAAAAGAGAAATCATTCCCTGTGTTTGTGCCATCTTGGCGTTCAAGTCCTTGATTTCTTTGTCTTTTGCTTCACGCTCCATTCTGTCTTTCTCTTCACATTCACGTCTCTCGTTTCATGCTCCCGTCTCTCAATTTCAAGTTGATGTTTAAGTATTGCAACTCTTGTGTCTGATGATTTGGTTTGAGGAAGATCAAAATACTTGTTGTATCTCACTCGACTTTCCACTCCTTTTGCATAACCTCTTTTTTCCTTTCCAAACACAACTGTCATGACATCAGTGCCATGGTCAACCTGTAAGGTCTCGTCTTTGATCTGGTCGTCAGTTGCTTTCTGCACAAAGTAAGGAAATATTAAAGTAATTACATATAAATTAAACACCGTTGAAATCTGTCACACCCCCGAACCAGACGGCGGAAACGTCCGGGGGTTTGCGCGTGACTTTATCCTTGGAGTTTCATCACAAAGTATATAATTGAAACATAACATCATCATCACTACACATGTAATATAACAACATACATTTTTTACATCGAGTATTGTATTTAAATATTACATGCCAAAACAATTAGAGTATGATGGAACAAAATATAACAAAACATCCATTAAACTGTTCATCCCAACTTGCTTCAATGGTTTCCTGAGAATACAAGTTAATTTAAAAAGGTCAACATAAAAATGTTGGTGAGTTCATAAGCGCGTTTGAGAAAATGATTTGTATAGCTTTGTAACCACAAGAAAATCCTTTATTTTCTTAAAATAGTTTAGTATGTTTGTGTCCGATCTAGTATTAATGCATGTGTGTTATCGTTTAATAGAATGCCAAAAGTGAATGAAGAGAATGTAAATAGAATGCCCCCAGACAACCCTATGTTGCCTGTAAAAGAAGAAAAATAATAGTCTCCCGTAAATTTCATAATGTTAATTCCTCTAAGTGAGTCGTCATAACCATACTAATTAATGACAATTTCGCCTGTCTTAGCGTTTGTGAACGCCGTCGGAAAATAGAATAAGGTTATCGTCACCCTAGACTGATGTAGTCTAACTGTAGCGAACAGCTCAGGTGTGGGGTGTCATCCCTGTATAGATCTATACACAAACCCCTGCTCTCTCTCTAAGAGACTCTGGTTATAACTACAGGCTATGATCGTACACTCAATAGGTGTCAACCGAAAAGTCTCACTAGATCCTTAATCGAATTTTACGCGAAGAGAAACATATAAAACTCATTCCGGGTCCAATGAACCATGTCCGCGGACCACTGAGTCTCACTGAACACGTAAGTCATTTTCAGGCCCGAAAGAAATGAGATTATATAACATGGGCCCAAAATATATGTAAAAGGACAACTAAGGCCCATTTCACATGTAAGGTATTTATAGGCCCAAATAGCACGCAAATAGTATCCAAGGTCCGTCGCGCATGTTAATGGGTCAGTGAGGCCCAATAAATAATTAAATAGTATTCAGGACCTATCAAGCATATTAATGGGCCACTAAGGCCCAATAACATGAGAATGACAAAAGTAGCAAGTTTGTTATTATTTTGCTAGTATTAGCTCAATTATTTATGAAAATAGCATAAAAATTCCACTTTTTGTAAAAATTGACATTCTTGGCCCATTAAGCCAAGAATTTGCAATTAAGGCCCAATATTAGTAAAAATAACATTTTAGGCCCCATTTTGGACAAAATTTGTATTTAAGGCTAGTTTTTGGTAAAAATAACATTTTTAACTCATTTGTGTCAAAATATCATTTTTGGCTTGATTTTTGTGAAGATAAACATTTTCGGCCCATTTATAGAAAATTTCATCTTTTTGGCCCAAATGTTCATAATTTCGCAACTTTAACCCCTTTTTATCAAAATTTACATTTTTGACACAACTTTATTGAAAATGACAATTTAACCCACAAAATACCAAAATTCCAATTTTTGGGCCCAAAACCGTAAGAAGCCCAAATAAGGCCCACTTATGAAAATATTTACATTTTTGGTCCCTATAAGGTCTCAAATGTCGAGATTAGCCATTATTTAGCAAAAATTTCCTTTTGAACCCCTTACTAGCCGAGAGTTACATAAACAACTCATATTTTGTCACTTTTGTCATTTTTAGCCCCTTTCATGAAGTTTTTCTTAGATTCAAGTATCCTTGATGTATTTTAAACCTTTTTCTTGTGAGATATGTTGAAATAAGTGTTATGTTATACCAATATCATCAACTTTTAGTAGATCTGTTAGTTCATGAAGTTTTCAACACATAAACACATATGTAACTAAAGAAAACACACAAAATGATGCATACACACATAGATCTACACAAAACAACTTGTATTCTCCCCCAAAACAAAGTGAAATTCGAAAATAAGGGGTATGAACTCACATTGCTTTGATGTTTTCAGTTTTTGGTGATGAGATGAGTAGATCTCGGTCGTAGCAAGCTTCTTGAGAAGGATTTTCGAACTTAGATGGTTCTAAGAAGCATGATTCACGAAAACATGGTGTAAGAGGAGTGAATGAGTTTAAAGATGAAGTATATCACTTGGGTTTGTAAGATCTTACCACAATGGGAAGCTTGAAGTGACTCTCTTGAAGATCTTCCTTACCCACGATTTTCTTGAGAGAAGAAGGATGGAAGAGAGTTGAGAGAATAAGGGTTGAATTTGAAATGAGAGAGAGGTTGGAGAGTGAGAGAGTGGCCGAGAGATAGAGTGAGAGATAAGAGAGAAGTGGGAAGTTGACTTTGGTGGAGAGTGAGTTGACGTTTGTCTTGATACATGCAAACCTTGCATGGATATCCAACAAGTAATAGTGAGGTGTCACTCCATTTCCCTCCCATTTGCTTCTCTTTTTTTTGGGTCGAGAGAGGGGAAAGAGGGAAGAAAATGAGGGAAGTTGGGCCCTTCCTTGGCTTATTTTGAAATTATGAGGCCCAAAATAATTATTTTCCGGCCTATTGGGCCTTTATGGAGGTTCACGGCCCAATGAAACCCAAGGATGTAGTTTACGACCCATTAGGGCTTATGAAACTAGTTATGGCCCATCATGGCCCATTAGAAATAAGATGGATCTTTCTAGGCCCATATGACCCAAAATACTTTACTTTCATGGATGTGGGTCAAATTAGACCCCAAATAGGCTTCCTAGGCCCAAAGTAGTCAAATTGAAAGTTTATTGGTCCATTAGGCCCAATAAGAGAATCCTAGTCTATAGTAACCTAGAACCGGGATTTTTAGGGTTTTTAATCCATAGTTGAACATATGAGATGTATTGTATTAGGTTTTGAACTTCAATCAAGAGTTTGGATTCAAATGGATGGTTTCATGTTAACATATAGCATGATATTCACTTAGAGTACAAGTTTTTACAGTAGTTGATGTTTACATGAAAACATAATTTCCTAGCTAAAATGCTAGTTGTGACATCATCCCCCCGTAAGAGGGAATTTCGTCCCGAAATTCTTTCGAAATATAGGATCATGAATGAGAGAATAGGTGAGGGTACTTCTGATTCATCTGGTCTTCGTGTTCTCATGTGAATTCCGGTCCACGCTTGGCGTTCCATCGAACCTTCACAATCAGAATGCGGCTATGCTTCGTACGCTTCACTTCCCTATCCATTATCTCGACTGGTTCTTCGACAAACAGGAGATTCTCGTTTATTTCGATCTCTTCTAAAGGAATGAAAAGAGTTTCACCTGATAAGCACTTCTTCAAATTCGAGACGTGGAACACGGGGTGTACGTTGCTGAGCTCCGAAGGTAGCTGCAGCTTATAGGCTACCGGACCAATTCGGGCAAGAATCTCGAACGGTCCGATGTATCGTGGGTTTAGTTTTCCTCGTTTTCCAAAACGAATCATCCCCTTCCAGGGAGAGGCCTTTAACAACACTCGATCTCCGATTTGGAATTCCAGAGGTTTTCGTCGATTGTCGGCGTAACTCTTTTGCCGGTCACGCGACGCTTGGAGTCGAGCTTTGATTTGGATTATCTTTTCTGTGGTTTCTCGAATGATTTCTGGCCCTATGAGAGTGATGTCTGGTGATTGTCCTTTTTCTAGTTAGGTGTCACCCACCTCAGCCCAACATAGAGGCGACCTGCACTTGCGACCATATAAAGCCTCAAAATGAGCAACCTTGATGCTCGTGTGATAACTGTTGCTGTATGAGAATTCAACCAAAGGCAAGTGGGTATCCCATGACTTGCCGAAATCAATCACACAGGCTCGGAGCATGTCTTCGAGTGTTTGGATAGTTCGTTCGCTTTGGCCATCGGTTTGAGGGTGGTAAGCAGTGCTCATGTCCAGCTGCGTTCCCATGGCCTTCTGCAGTGACTGCCAAAATCGTGAGGTAAATCTACTATCCCGATCCGAGATTATAGATATCGGCACTCCGTGGAGTCTCACGATCTCTTTGATATAGATCTGTGTTAATCTCTCCATCTTATACGATTCTTTTATTGGCAGGGAATGGGCGGATTTAGTTAACCTATCGACAATTACCCAAATAACATCCAATCCGTCTGCCGTCTTAGGTAATTTGGTTACGAAGTCCATAGAAATCCTTTCCCATTTCCACTCGGGCATTGCTGGCTGT